CTTGTCGCATGCAGTCTGGCGGGTCTCCATCAATTGTTCGAAACACTTGATGTTCAGGCTGCCCGAGTTCTCGGATTTCCCCGACCGGAGATCCAGCCGCTTGCCGGTTATCATCTTGACCAAGGGTGCCGTCCACTTCGAGATCGCACAAAAGGTGCGATCTTGCACAATCTTCTGGGTCGGCGTGAAGGAGCGATCCCCAAGGAGCACAACCTGCCTGGTGACGATCTCGAAACATGCCATGGGGCTCAGTGGAAGGAGTCTACAACAAGAGATCTCAAGCTGTAGTAGAGCTGTCTTCTGCCGGCGAGCATGCACACACATGCCTTGCCAAGCTGAGAACAGCCCTAAAAGTGCACAAACATCGGCGATGCAACATGCACAGGCATGAGTCTGCACTGCATTTCGATTGGCAAAGCACAAGCTCACACACCTGAGGGATCCTTGCACGATGCAGCTGCACAGAACATTCCGGTCTCGCTATATGTAAAAAAGCGCCAGTCATGCTTGCCTGCAAGACATGCATATATGTGTAAAGATCTTTAAATATATCTGGCCTCCTTCAGAAAAAGACTTCATGCAAATAATCAAAGCAAGCATGCAGTCAAACACCAATGCCCAACCATCACTTCTTCTGAGCCTTCTTGCTCGAACCGCCTGAGGTCGTGGGTGCTCTTTTCGGTGCTTTCGTGTTCTGCACCTCCTCGACTTCGTCCAAGGGAGCAATCTGCACCGTTTTCGATTTGAAGGCCACAATGGGGCTGCCTTCCGGGATCTTTTTGGTGTTCTTAAAAACAGGAATCTTGATGCCCTTGTCTGCTCCAGGAACCCAATGAAGCTTCACATTGCACTCGGCTTCCTCGTGGGTGTGCTGCACCAACCAAAACGGAACAAAGACATGCTTGCAATGCTCGTCGTCGTTGTCTTTCGGAAGAATGTTGGCACCGGAGAGCCAAAACTTTCGGTCGTTTGTCTGCCAGTCCGTCTGCACTTCAACCATGCTGCTTTGGCCCTGAGCTTTCTGCACGACCTTGTTGGTCATGGGCACCATGACCAGCTTCTTGATGTCGGAGTTGGCAAGCAACATCCTTGAAGGCTTCAGCTGCAACTTCAGCTGTTCCGACCCACACTCCATGGACTCGTGAAGCTTGCACAGCTCGAGCTGAATCTTCGATGCAAGACTACTGGCATGGAAATCCACGTGGTCCTGGGACTGGTCCAGGCTTTCCAGCATTGTGGGCTGCACTCGGGGAACAAAGCTGGCCCAATCTCCGGCCAAGAGGACATTCGGGTCCACCTTGGCCGTCTTTCCCGATGCCAGCTTCACGAAGACCAAGTTGCCTTTCACTTCTGAGAGGACACCCTCGATCTTGTCGACCTTGCGACGAATGTGTGTGCCCACACCGAAGCTCTTGGAGGCCAACATCTTCTCAGGTTCCTTGATACTGCCGTCCTCAGCAAGCTCAAGCATCACACCAGCAGAGGGCTGGGAAGCACTCGCTGCACCAGTGAGGTGCTTTGCAACCAGCAAGAAGTCGTGGCCGATGGCCTGCACAGTCTTGTACTTCTTTTCATCCTGCTGTTTGATTCCCAGAACATGGGAAGCCATTGCCATGTCCATCGTGCCCAAAGCCTGGACGATGCGAGAATCCGTGAGCGCCCGGGCTGCTCCATCCTCTCGCAAGAGGCTCCGGACCGTCAGGATCATGTTGTCGGCCTCCTTGACTTTGAAGAAGAGGTCTTTGGAAGTCATCTTCTTCACATCGGCCAGTGTCACATTCTGCCTCAAATATGCCTGCTTAGAAGTGCATGGCGCAATGCTGCAATGGGCTCTGACTGGTGCCCTCGGCAATCTTGTCCGAAAGGGTGTCCGTATCGTTTCATTTGCAATAAGATACGCCTCCAGCATGTAGAACCCTGTGTAATTGACGAAAACTATGCATGCACAGAAGCGGGAGTTGCGCAGCGAGCATCTTGTGTAATTGATAGGACGCAAAGACCAGATTCACAGCATTGGCTGTAAACAATAGGGTACGGGGAGTTGGCAAAGGCACGGAAGCGAGAACAACCAGCTAAAAACAAAACGCCAAGAACAGGAACAAAGTCAACAATAACATTCCGCCCCTTAATGAAACTTTCACCCATTGTGAAAGCCTATAAGGTCTTTCACATCCTGGATCCCGGCAACATGTCAGAACATGCGAAAGCAGCCAACACCAAGAGCTCGGACAGAAGAGCCTTTTAATCAATTCATCCCGGCTACCCACTGCTGCTGCTGCTGCTCTTGCTCCTCCTGCTCCTGCTCCCTGCTTCTACTGTACGACACTACCGAACGACAACAACTGCCACTGCGCGGGGCGGGTGGCTACCCTGCCCCAGTCCTTTTCCACACAAAAAAAACAGCACGAACGGCAGCCTCTATCGTGCTCCCCCTGCCCTGATGCTCGCCGCTCTCTGCCTGTTTCTGTCCTTCAGCCCGCGCTTGGGCAGACGTGTGCCTGCTGTGTTTCGCGGGCTTCTGCTTCATCCGCTGCTCTGGATTTCCTTTGATTTGGCACGCTGGCATTGTTTGAAGCTGTACTGTAGGGCGTTTATCATGTGGGAATGCGGCTTTGCTTACACATCTCCTAAGTAAGCGGAAGCATTACGGCATGCTGCCTGCCTCCGCAACACTTTGTGTGAAGTTTTGTGCCTGGCCTATAACGCCTATGGGTTTCTGTTTTCTTGCAGCAAATGCTTGTGTCGGTTTGGGATGTAAACAAGCATGCTTCCTCAGAGCTTTTCGGAGTTTTCCGATCATGTAGACCATGCATGTTGACAGTTGATCTTCAGAAGTTTGCAATCCAAGGATGCTACCAATGCATAGTCTCCGAGCACTTTCACTCATCTCGGATCACATGGTTTTTTTGTTGTTGGTCACTGGATTTGCTGGGCGGGTTGCCGAGGGTCGTACGCAGTCAGTTGGTGGGCTGCTGTTGTCATGATCAAGGAGGCGGTGGTAAAGGAGCAGGAGCCATTGTTAACACGAGGACAAGAACCGGGACGGGATAAGGATGAGAAGGAGGAGGACAACGACGAGGATGAGGATTATCAAGAATAGGATGCGGAGGAGGATGAAGCGAGCAAACGACGGCTTCCGTTGGCGGGTTCTGATAGCAGGGCTATGGTAGCACTATTGTTCCATTGCTTGTTCAGCATGTGCCAAGCATCCGCAGGCTTTGCCGGGATTCGCGCGTGCCTCACGGCTTACGGATAGCAAAGTCGCGATCTTGGAAGACCTGGAGGCCGCAGCTTGATGATTCCTATTGCCTTGCAGTCTGTTCACGATGTTTCGACCTTGATCCATCAGGTTGTTGGCTGTTTCGCGCAAATCGGATGCCCAGTGTATGAGTTCAGTCAGCAGGGATGCGCCGCAGGCAAGTTATTGCTATGAAATTGAGGTATATGTCCTTTATATGTGTGTGTATATATATATAGAGAGAGAGAGAGAGAGAGAGAGAGAGAGAGAAAGAGAGTCAGAGAGACAGAGAGACAGAGAGACAGAGAGACAGATAAAGATAGACAGATGGGCAGGCGGGCGGGCAAGCAGGCTTGCAGGCAGGCAGGCAGGCAGAGAGAGAGAGCGAGAGAGAGATAAATTGACCTGACCCGTCCCCTACGCCCTGTGGAAGAAGATAAGTAGATAAATAGATAATTCAGATAGGTAGATCAGAGTAGGCTCGATTGAACTAGAGTAGATTGACCTAGATTAGATGTGATAGTTATCGCCTGTTAGTTTGTTCGTGTGTTAGTTTGGCAGTTACCTATTTAACCGCGTATTCAATCTTTTGTTTAAATTTAGTCGGTTGGTTGGTTAGTGACGTACTGGGTGATTTAGTCCGTGAGTGCGTGAGTTTGTGAGTTTGTTCTCTAAAGAATTTGTAAGCTACTTGGTTGGTGATGCCGTTAGTTAGTTGGTCGGCTAATCAGTTAATCAGTTAGTCAGTTAGTGAGTTAATGAGTTTGTGAGTCGGTTACAGATCTGTCCATGGCTTCCGCCCTTGTAACGTTTTTTTTCTTGCCTTCTGTGGCACGGAAGTGTGGGCATGAGTGCTGTCGTGTCTTCGCGCTTGATGCTTGTCCTTCCAAATACTGCCAACCCGGTGGAAAGCTTCGAGAACTTCTGGGTTTTGTGCAGGAGCGTCGGCTATCTTTGCTGCATCACCTGCAGAAGCTTTGCCGCCCGGCATGGGAGCTGAGCGGGTCCGTGGGCTGAGATGTCCAGGTCTCTAGTTGCGCAACACCTCCGTTCCAAGTATTCTGGGTCACGGCATTTGGCGAAGGCCGTCAGTCCGTCCAGAGAGTTGTGTCCACCCAGCTCAGGCAAAAAGGATGATATGCTTGCTTGCTCCGCACCTTCCTTGTGGCTCACTGCTTGGAAGCAGCATGATCTATGGTCGAAATTAGAAATTAGTAGCTCATGGCTGACAGTTCTTCCGATACTTTTCTGGATGACACCCTACTTTCCATCGGTTCGAAGTGCTTAGTGTTCATCAATTCGAAGATGGTGTTGTAACCTGCCAGGAGTTTCTTTGGGGCCTTGGGTATTTGACGCAGAAAGCCCCCAAAATCACCGACAGCAAGGAAATTCTGCAGGAAGAAGTAGCCTTGCATGTAAAGACAGGCAGGCAGAAGGCCTTACGCCATTCGAGTCCAGGATCCTTGGCGTTTGAAGCATCAAAGCAATGATCCGACGTGTAGCGTAGGTTCTCTGATTTGTGTTATTTGTGTTGGCCTGCATTGAAGCATCCACCGCAAGCGTTTCGCCGCGCGGGCAAGTTGTTAGCCTCCGTTCGGAGTGCAAGAGACTGGTCGCTTAATAATTCGCAGTTGAATATTGAGCACAGCTCCAGGAGTCAGGAGTCTTACTCGCGGCCATCAGGCGTCCAACACTTCAGTTACGCAAGCAGCCGAACTGGATTTTTGCTGATGCTGCCGCTTGTTATGGCAGAGTTGTTAAGGAGAGCCGCCCTCAACAGATGTCGCGGACGCAGAACTTCAAGGAACAGCCTGGGACAAAGAGGGGCACGTGCGGTTTGAGGGGTGCAGGTTTTGATTGTGGACGAGAGGTCCCGCTGATGGACATGGGAAGGCTCTCTTCTTAGCCCGGTGATGACATGTACTACTCGTAGCAGGGGCGGTTGAAACCGGCGCACTACAACCACGTTCAGGCGTGAGTTACAAGCCACGAGGAGCACCGAAATGAAATAGACTGCATGTCTCGACACCTACTGACATCGTCAAGTGCACACTGATGCCAAGCCAGCTGGGCAATCTCGAACACAAGTGTGTCATTCCAGAACGGCTATGATCTGTAAATTCACTAGAGCATGTATCTATCGTGATTTAGTTAGCACGGCTGACCCATGCCTGTGAAGACAGTTCATGCTAGGATGGATTCATGAGAAGTTTGCAGTCGTGCGCATCGTTGGTTTCGGCAAAAAACTTGGACAAAGAAGTGCGCGGAGCTCAGTGCTGCATTCTTGTGGGAGTCCGGAATGCAATTCTGCAAAATGCTGCAGTTGCTTTCAGATCAATTTTTGGGGCTGGGACATGCTGGGACTTGGACATCTCTGGGAGCAATCAGCAATCAGTTCACATGTCCTAGCAGTCCTAGCAGCTGGGCAGGCAGGGGGAGGAGACCTGCCCTTGGTCCGCAGACCCGAGGATCGCCAAAATGCCAGAAGCTGCAGAAGACTTATGGGTTCGTACGCGGAGAGATGCAGAAAGCATGCTCAGGATCTTGGGTTGAACCGGCTACTGCCTGGGTTTAAGCCCTAAGGTTTGTTTGGGTTTGTGTGTGAGTAGCTTTCGAAGTGAATTTGATGCTGCGTGAGAGCAATCTTGTAATCATCGAGTCCACGCCACGGTCCGGTTTATTCTGCCCAGTTTCAGCGCAGAGGGGGATCCGAATCAGGCATGAAGACCCGAAGGCTTGTTCTAAGACTTGCATGTAGATGGCAAGGAAGGGGTGATGCCTAAAGCGGAAAGCTTCTTCCTTTGCCTTCTTGCTGAGTGCCTAGCCAAGCACTGGCGACTCCAGGAATCCTTCCATGACGGCTAGCGAGTTCAAGAAGTATGCTCAAGAGCTCCAGGGAGTTATCAAAGATGTCGCATCCAAGCAGAATTCAATTTTCGACCTCCTTGCGCATGAACTTATGTTCCGAGGGGCCCAGCTCTTGTGGGTTTGGGAATGACACCATGCAGCACCCGATATGTGACCTGCAGTTGAGTTCAGTGAATGAGTCAGCGAGTTGGTTGTAGAATGTTGTCGAGCAGCACATGCAGAACTGTTGGAGGCCTCCCTCTTCAAGCACGAGATTCGGCTTACAGAATCGGATTCGGCCAAAGTGGTCAGGCAAGTGGCGGAGAAGGTGGCTGAATTGGTGTTGAAAGATCTGGAAAAGCTGATGCCCATCTGTCCGCATCACCTTTTCAACAAAAGATGCGAAGCTCACAAGGGAAAAGGAGAGTGCACCTCGGCATGAAACCGCGTACGTATCCATGTGCTTTTTGCAGAGGCATATGAGCATGTCGACAGTACTTCGAACAAGTTGTGGCACGGGGGAGGATTAATTTAGGCTTGTTCAGGCCAAGATGCTTCTTTTCAAGGTCCGCTGGAGCACCCGGATGTCAGCAAGACGCATGATTCATGGCAACTCTTGGGCATCAGTGGTGGTGTCTTGGATCTGAGGCAGAACAGCCACTACACGACACAGACATCAAAACGACTCGTAGCCGTAGAATTTCGTGGGATGTTGGACTGATCCCTCATTCAGCGCTCCAACGTTTATCTTTGCTCCGCATTGTGGTGTCCTTCGGGTGGGATCAGTTGTTGTGAAGCCTTGCCTGCCCTGCGCAAGAGTCGAAAAGGGCGGGACCTAAAGCATGCTGCAGTTTCCTGATGCCTTCTCAGGAAAAGCAACAATATTCCATGGCATTGGCTTGAACAGCTGGCTGGGCATTGTGAATATTTGTCAAAACAGTGTGGCAAGGCTGCAAACCTGGCAGAATTAGCAAATTCGCAATGAAAGACTGAAGCTTCCCTTTATGCCGTGCCTTGGTGCCTGCTCAGGTCAGGACGGGGCAGCCTTGCAAGGGCAGGTGTCGGTGGATGCACCCCGAGAAGTATGAGCTGCAGAAGATACAGGAGAAGCTGCGGCGGGCCGCTGAGTGACAGATCGGGAGGGGCAAGACCGGGCAAGAAGTGCTTTGCGTTTGAAGCTTGACATGGCTCAGGAATAAATGTGGTACTTACTACTTCGACTGGGCAAAAGTTGCCCACTTGGAAGTAGCACCTGCCTTAACTTCGAGTGCAGATGCGGCTGGTGTCTTCTCCGGGTCACCATGGTAGCTTCAGTTTCTCTCGGCTTGACATCGTATCGCTCCCTAAACCAACATTTTGCACATCTACCCTGCTCGCAGAAGTCTTGCCTGCAGCAGCAGGGGAATCCGACGCAAAGCGCGCATATGATGGATGCATCGTTAGAGCCTCATGTGTGTCTTTAGTACAGTATACATGTTGCAGGTCGCAGAGGTGCTGCTGCAGTCGCTGCAAGGCGAAGGAGCAGATCTCAAAATCCCGAACGGGTTTGGCTGCTGCTTCTTCAAGGACTCATTACAAGGGGAATCCAGAGGAGCTAGCATCACTTCTTTGTCACATTCTTTTGCAGGATGGCGACAAGATGTTGAATGCCGATCTGCAGCAAGGAGCATGCCGAAACTTTAGCAAACACGAGGATGCAGTGGCGGAGAGGGAGAGAAAAGGCAAGTTTTTTTTGCGAAGCATCTTATCTCGGAGCAACCTGCAGATGCAGCTCAAGCCGAGTAGTGGGTCCGCTGTGGATATAACATGTCGTTGATGCGTTGGTGCATTTCACCGCGTGATCTGTATGTGAGCACCACCGGACTGCAGATTCAGGTTCGCTTGGCGACCATTCTTGCATCTGCGTTCTTGAATAAGCGCAGCTCGCACGCCTTGCAGTAATCGTTTTGCATTTCTTTGTGATGCTGAGCTCTGAGTCATTCGCTTAGTTAGAGTGTAAGTCTGTCTCTGGAAGGGCGTCAGTTTCCCACCTCCGAGGTTGCTGTGACCTGGGCCTGGAGGCATCTACGGAAGTGGCCAAGCTGTAGATACACTGTAGATGGGTTACTGCAGACGTTGCCTGCACGCAGCGATGATTCGAAACCCAAAATCCACGGGGCGTAGCACTGCAGTCGAAGGACGAAGCCGCATGCTGAAGCGGAAGTTTTGCTCACAAGCACATCTAAGGTGCTGCTGCGCATGTGCCGCAGCCTTTACCGCTATCCCGACCCGCAGGCTTCACTGAGTCGACGAAGCAAGTAGAAAATTGGCTTGTGCCGCATGCATGCACGCGCCGCAGTGCAATAGTGGCCGTTGCCGACTTCGCATCTGGAGGCCGCGGATTTGGCAAAGGCTACTTTGGCAGAAGTGCGCCGCTCGCTGCAGATCTAGTCCCTTCCCGCTACTGCACTGCGGACGAAGAATCAAGCCCCCTTTCACCCGCTGTGTTTGTTTGTGCGGCATTCAGTCTGCTGGCAAAGGCGAGTCGAGTTTGGTCCTAGATATCCAGTAACCTGCCGAACATATACATAAAATATACCAGCATTTATATTCAATGCAGTATAATACAGTTTAATACAGTACAACATGTTATTCTACAATAGTATATCATACGGAATCACATACTGTAGTGTTATAAACCAGCATAAGATCAGGTAAGATAATATAACATAATGTGTTGTAGTGTAATGTAATGATAATGTACTTAAAATGTAATTCGATATCACACTAGACAAATTATGTACATACATACATGCATATTTGTGTGTGTGTGCGTGTGCGGGAGATTGGTTTATCGTTTCCACTTGACGGACCCACTGCGTAGAGCCCAGAGTTAACCCGTGGTGCCAGAGCGTCACACAGTCCTGCCGACAGTCTGGAGTCGCCCCATGGGTCCCTTTGCTGCCCCGACACTTAATAAGCCCGCTGCTTTGGGATCTCACAGCATGCCGCAACCTGTTATCAAAGATGCCGTTGCGCTCTCACCCCCATGTGAACCAGATAGTGGGTGCACTTTATTGTCTTTCTCGTATCGTCTAGTCTGGCGAGTATCAATGCCCAGCTGTCAGGACATGTTGAAAAGCTGTCACACACAGTCAGCTGGGAGGTGGAAGGCTGGGCTTTGTTTGCTACCGATGAATGTGAGAAAGCAGTTCTGGCAGTCTTGANNGCGCAGCTTTCTTCTGAGTAATATCAGTTGGCTGCGGAGCCTACGCGCCGGCCGGGGCGAGTTCCTTGGGGAGTACCTCTAAGTGCTCCTTTTTGCCCTCCCGTGCGCGTGACGATTCAGGACCTTTTCAGCCGCGGCGACGTAGTGAACCATGGCTGGTACAGGCCCAAGCGGGTCAGACCAGGGGACTCGTGATCGAGATCCCCCTCCTTCGTGGGACGGCGCAAAACCCGAAGCTTCTTTGCGACGCTACCTCAAGGAGCTTGATCTCTGGGA